GGTGGTGGTAAGCCCCATGTAGGTGTGCCTTCACTCTCCCAGGTATATTGGGAGCTATTATATGGCATAAGTGTGACACTGATTGAATTATATTGCTAATCACAATGTAAATTTTGACGGGTAATGAATGCCTGCTGTGGATCCCCTAGCCATTCAATGACAGCTTCAAGGGCCACTAGGTGAGATTAAATATTTTTATCAGTATTTACTTGTTCTTAAAATTCATGGGTTACATTGTATACCATGTGGTTCACCACTGAGGCTGTATGAATAGATTCCATCAAAGAGACAGCTGCAGTAGCAGCAGTTGTTAGTATAATAATAGCTGAAACTAAAAAGGCAATTAGAGAGGCCAGGCATTTTTTTTTTTTTAATATGAGACAATGCTTTTCTAAATAACTGCAAAATAGAATCCCCTTTCCAGTTCTGGGTTGGATATACAGGGAGCCACAATCCTGACCACCATTTTAAAATAATGACATAGGGCCGGGCATGGTGGCTCACGCTTGTAATCCCAGCACTTTGGGAGGCCAAGGCAGGCAGATCACGAAGTAAGGAGTTTGAGACCAGAATGACCAACATGGTGAATCCCTGTCTTTACTAGAAATACAAAAACTAGTTGGGCGTGGTGGTGCATGCCTGTAATCCCAGCTTCTTGGGAGGCTGAAACAGGAGAATTGCTTGAACCCAGGAGGCAGAGGTTGCAGTAAGCTGAGATCGTGCCACTGCACCCCAGCCCATGTGGCAGAGCGAGACTCTGTCTCAAGAAAAAAAAAAGAAAATCATGACATCGTTTATATTTAATTGTGTAACGTTTTGGTGAGACAAGCATGTAGCATATCAACTACTGGAAGAAACAGAAATACTATAAAAGGATTGATTCTGTTCTATGTTAGGAATACCCTGCCCAAACAAAAGTATGTAGGGGTGCATAGCACAAATCAGGACTGTATCAGTAACATTATTGTGCAAGGAGAGGGTGTAGTTGTCACCACTATAAATGTAATCACTTTTATTATGAAAGAACCCATTCAAAAAAGGGAAGACCTAGTTTCCAAATTTGGATATGCACAGGGCCTAAAACTTGTTCCCCTTTTGATTGTAATATTCGTCCTGAAAGCCCACACTCTGACCAGGTGATGGAACTATTGGCTGGACTCCCAAATCCAATAGTCTGATTTGCAGACATGGGATCTCCAAGGGGTCCCCAATCAAGTAAGGTGCCACTATCAAACAGGTCCTTGAGCGGCACAGGTTGTCTGCATGGGGACCACTGGACAGCCTCAAACTTATATCGCCAGTCTTTTCTCGGATGGCATATAGGAAGATCAGGCATTTGTATAATTTCATTAGAAACCTCAGTAAGATTACTGGTAATGGCAGAAATAAAAGTCAAGTTTGTGGGCTTAACATCCCTTTTGAGCTGATAGTAAAGATACTCCTGAGGAATGTGAGTAATACACTTATGTGCCAATGTAGAGAAACAAAGGGGAGGATTGCTAGACAATAAAGACAAGGAGTCATTAAGTTTAATCCATCCCAAATTTTCAGTGAGGGAGTAAGGGGCATCCATCGACCTCCCATCCAAGAAGTATTATTAGATGACAAAGGCGGGTCAGCATCCCACCACGTAATAACATTGAAAACCGAGGGATTCGGAACATGACTCCAATAAAGATGTTCTTGAGCTAAGCCCACCTGGCAAAGAACAAGAATTACCAGCCACCCCAACATCCATGTCTGTCTTACTTTCTCAGAAGCTTCCCCAATTACCGCCAGATACATAAGAAATTGGTTCTCTGCAGTTGCAGGGGTTCCCATGGATGCAAGCCAGATAGTTCCCTGTTGGTCCCTATCTGGGTAATGTCAGGTGCTGTCCCCAGGTAATGTCAGGTGCCTTCCAAATCATCACTGTCAGTTTTGGTCGATTCTCCAACGACAGGTCCTTCATTATCAGGAGGGGCTTTCTTCAGTGGTCTCTAACTCATAATATGGCTTCACTCATTTTATGGGGATCCATTCTAGTCCTGTATTTCATGAAACACAAACCGCACCTCAACTCCATTGCAATGCCTCATAAAGTCCCTCCCAATTCCCTGTACAAACGTCTCAAATTAACATCTTTCGTTTTGTGACTTCAACCAGTTTCATCCTACAATCAATAACCATCTGGCCATCTTGTCCAATATTCAAAAAATTGAGAGTAAGATTTTTGCTATCTGTTCTCAAGGAGAGAGCTCCCATATTCCCTTTTTCATTTATTAAGATATACTTTAAGGGTTTGATGAGCTTGTTCAACAATGGCCTGACAGGTCGAGTTATAAGAAATACCAGTTTTGTGTTGTACGTGCCAAAGTTGCAATGCATATAAAAACTAGTGCTAAGATAGCAAGGACCATTATCAGTTTTCATAGTCTGTGGAGGGCCTAAGGTCATAATAGATTCAAAAAGATAAGCAATTCATCTTTAGTTTCTTCTCCAGTCTATGGAGTCACGTATATCAGGCCCGTATAAGTGTCCACAGTAACGTGGAGAAATTTAAAGTGTCCAAAAGGTGGATGCTGAGTAATAACAGTTTGCCAGGTAGCATTAGGTACCAGACCTCATGGGCTGGCACCAAGTCCCAGTGATAAAAGGGACAGAGAATGCTGTTGGCAATCAGGACAAGTTTTAATAATCATGCAAGCTTGATCGAGCATTAAATGAAACTGTTGTTTAAGACTGTGAGCAGGCTGGGCACAGCGGCTCACACCTGTAATCCCAACACTTTGGGAAGCTAAGGTGGGTGGATCACCTGAAGTCAGGAGTTCGAGACCAGCCTGACCAATATAATGAAACCCCGTCTCTATTAAAAATACAAAAATTAGCTGGGCATGATGGCATGAGCCTGTAATCGCAGCTACTCGAGAGGCTGACACAGGGGAATCGCTTGAACCTGGGAGGTGGAGGTTGCAGTGAGCTGAGATCGTACCACTGCAGTTCAGCCTGGGCAACAAGAGTGAAACTCCGTCTCAAAAAAAAAAAAAAGACTGTGAGCATTCTGATGAAAGAAGAAATGATCAGCTTGAGCTTACAAAAATGCAGGAGAGTCTCCAAACCTCATCTGTGTTTGTACCAGAGCATCAGCTTGAGTGTTCCCTTCTGACAAGGGACCAGGTAGCCCAGAATGAGAGCGAATATGTGTGATATAAAAAGGTGACAATGGGGACAAAGGAGCTCATGTGTTGTGAGAAACAGGGTTAGTAGGGGTTCTTTAGTAATGCCTTTTAAATGTGCGAGATCTAAATGAGTAATACTATACACTGCATAAGCAGAATCACTAATTATGTTCATGTCTTGGTAAGGAAAAGTTTGTAAGACCAATATTAGGGCACCTAACTCAGCCTGTTGTGTAGTTTTGAAGTGTTCCTGGATTTTGTGCTGCCAATTTTGCATGGCATCTTGCCACACTATAGCTGACTTTCCCATTTTTCTTGAACCATCTGTAAAGACAGTAGTGGCGTGAAGCAAGGGCTCAGAGACAACAATAGATGCAAATTTAACAGGCACAGTTTGTAAAAAGTTCAGGAGCTTAGAGGCTGGTAAATAGAAACTGATATTACCAATAAAGTTGGTCATTGCAACTTGTCAATCAAGATCACAGGCTAAGAGAGTATGAAACTGTCCCTTGCTTAAAAGTAAGAAAAGAGTAGCAGGGTCATATCCTGACAATTGGATGCAATGTTGGCATCCCTTTATGAGAAGCTATTAAATCTGTGGTCTTTTTTAGGTGTTTTGAGGGGTTTACAAGACAGATAAAGCCACTCCAAAGGAGAAACATTTGTTCCAACTTGCCCAAGCATTCCTGTAGGGCTTTGAGGGGTATTAAAAATCAAAAGATTTTGATTTTTTTCTGTCTGTCTGTCAGGATCTAAACCCAATATGCACCATTGGGCCAAGACTTGCTCCACAGCCATAAGCTTTGCCTGTGCTAGCCAAGAGAGGTCTTGCAGTGAATTTAAAGCAGAGTCACCTTTCAGGGTGTCAAAAAGATTAGTCAAGTAATTTGCAGGAATACCTAAATAGGGACGTATCCAACTAATCTTTCGTAGGACTCGCTGTCATGTATTAAGGGTTAAGTGCTGTGGAAGAATTATTTTCGTAAGTTGTGGCCTGAGCGTAGTAGATAAAATAAGACTTCCTATATAGAGCCACAGAACCATCAGCTGGACTTTTTCTTGTGCAATAACGAGACCATATTGTAACATATGCTGTACTACCATTGCATGAAGTTGATGCAGTAATGACTGATGCTGAGCAGCTATCAAAATATCATCCATATAGTGGAAAATATTTGCCTAGGGGAAGGATTGATGCACAGGAAGTAAGTCTTCATGTACATAAAGCTGACATATAGTAGGGCTATTCATGATCCCCTGGGGTAGAACTGTCCATTGATAACATTAAACTGGTTGCAGAGTATTATAAGTGGAAACAATAAAAGCAAAATTTTCTCGATCCTCAGGATGCAAGGGTATGGTTTAAAAAAAAAATCCTTTAGATCAATTACAATAAGAGGCCAGTCTTTGGGGATCATAACCGGAGAAGGTAATCCTGGTTGCAAAGGCCCCATAGGAAACATTACAGCATTAATAGCACAGAGGTCATACAATAACCTCCACTTTCCTGACCTTTTAAGAATGTTAAAATAGGAGTGTTCCAGGGACTAGTCCTAGGCTCAATGTGGCCAGCGTCTAGTTCTTGTACAAGACATTGGATGTGTTGCAATTTTTCCTTCTTAATGGGCCACTTACCCGCTCATACTGGGCTAGTAGTTTTCCACTTGGTGTTTGATAATTTTCAAAGGAGCAGTGGCCCTACCAAAAAGGCGGCAGGACAGAGAGGTTTAAGCCCCAGTGTTCTAGGGCATCTCATCCCCACAGAGAAAATGGAATCTCTTCAGATAAAGGGCTTAACATGGGTGATCTTGCCTTCTGGGCCCCAAAGTGGATGAATATGCCTACTTTTTTTAAAAAAACAACAACAAAATTCTGCTTTTTTATAAAACTTGATTAAAAATAGTATTTCAAACTGTACAGTCACCAGAAGTACACAGTTATCAAAAATGCACACACTTCACTTGGCATCTCCAGCACCTTCAGCTTTCTGTGCCTGGTCTGTTTTGGCATCTCCGTTTTCTGCAGGGTTATTCCCCTCCTTGCCAGCATCAGCTTTTCCCTTTTTCCCTTTGGGTACCGTCTCTCCCTTCTTTGCGGGGGCCTTTTTGGGCCTGGGCTCTGGCTTTGGAGGAGCAGGTTTAGCAGACAACTTCGCGGATCTTCTCTGTGGTTCGTCCTTCACCTTGGCTTTATCTCCTTTAGCATCCCCTTCAGCTTTTCTCTTGGGCATGGTGGCGACGGCAGCAGGACGTAGGTGCTGGACGCCGGATGCAGCGGCGCGCGGGCTTTGGTCGGTCTGGGGGTCGTTCTCGCCTCTTCTTCAGAATATGGCTACTTTTTAATGGCTGTTGATACCCTCCAACACCCATGATAGAATATCAGGCAGGAGAGGCCCAATCTGAAGGCCACTGTTTTTTAGCTGTTATAGTTTGATCAGCCACTATATCAATAATTCTCATAAACATAACTCCATTAATTGTTACTTCCAAGTATGGTCTATGACATGACACTGGAGTACTCCAAAAAAACTTTCATCCCTGAGTGGCCGAATCCCGAGGCCCCACAGGTCTTCTGTTGAGCATTACCTTGAAGGTAAGGAATAAGAATAATCTGAGCAAGGCAAGTTCCTTTAGAGATGGTGTGGACCCCTGACACCTGTGCCATAATTTAATTTCTCCTAAATAGTGTGAATCTATGACTCCAGGGAAAATTTGAATTCCTTTACGTGTACTATAAGACCTTCTGATAATCAATCCAAATGTTCCTCTGGGTAATAGGCCATAGATTCCAATAGAAAATAGCTGGACCCCATCTTGCTCTTTAAGCACCATGTCTGTTATGACTCCGAGGTCCAGCCCTGTGCTGCCAGAGGTGGCTGAAAAGAGGTTATGGTTGCTATTTCTGGTCCTGACTAGGAGGGAAAGTCATTTCCCAAGTCTGGGAATTGGTGTTCCTCCATGGATTTTTCTGAGCGCTGGAGGTCTTGCCCCTCTTCCTGTTTCCCGATAATGGGTGTCCATCCTTATCAAATTTTGATTTTCACTGATTAGCCCAGTGCTTACCTTTGCCGAATCACCAGCATTCTTGAGAGGGTATTTTAGGGGCCTTTGATTTCTTTGGGACTCCCTTCTGTTGGCATTTTCCAAACACGTACGTAAGCTTAGTCTTAGAAGTATTCTTCTCAGCATCTCTTCACCAAACTATATGAATTTTATTATTTATTTATTTATTTATTTATTTATTTTTGAGATGGAGCTTTGCTCTTGTAGCCCAGACTGGAGTACAATGGCGCAATCTCGAATCACTACAACCTCCGCCTCCTGGGTTCAAGCGATTCTCCTGCTTCATCCTCCTGAGTAGCTGGGATTACAGGCATGTGCCACCATGCCCAGCTAGTTTTTCGTATTTTTAGTAGAGACGGGGTTTCACCAAGTTGGCCAGGCTGGTCAGAAACTCCTTACCTCAGGTGATCCACCTGCTTCGGCCTCCCAAAGTGCTGGAATTACAGGTGTGAGCCACCGCACCCAGCAACTATTTTAATTTTAAAAAGTAAGAAGTGGGGAGGGCTTTTTAATATTTTATTCCTTTCTATTCAGTTTATCTTATCCTATACATAAATGGAATAAAGCGTGGTGTCTGTCCTAACCAAATTTATGTTGCGGTGATGCAGAAATGTCTATGCTCCCAAGCAAGAGACGAAAAATCATGTTACCTGGGGCCCAAAGAGATGTTCAGGTTACATCTGTCAGGACTGATACTATAGGAGAGAGTCATCTTTTGAGCCCAGTGAGATTTTGGTGAGTCATGTGGATGACATCAGAGACAAGCATTACCCGAACTTAAGAGTCCTTATAAGACTCTCATATAAGATTGTCTTAGAATATGGTGGCCCAACTCACACAGAAGAGGATGGCTGTGCATCCAAGTGAGACTGATATTTTTTTCTCAGGAGCAGAAATCTTAATGTAGGAGATGGCCACTCACTGAGTAGTCGAAGCATGCCCTGATGGAACTCTCTCGGGGTCGCATTGCACACTGTCTCCCTGAGTTGCATAAAGCACAGAACAGCATATCTGCACTCCGGCTTCTAGTGTGTACCAACTCAGCAGAAAACACATCCCTATCTATTTTGTTTCAAAAATACTTTGTTTGCCATGAAAAAAGTGAATTAATATAGTAGAAACCCAAGGACTGCCTAGGGGTAGGTAGCAGGTCTGTCATCACCAGAAGTATTTAAATGCTGGCTAGATGAATACTCTGTGGAAAAGGTTCACTCTTTGTGAAAGGGGTAAAATAAATCTTTTTCTTGGGCACTGACAGATCTAGCGAAGATCCTACCATACAATAGATAAACAGCAACTTCTGTTTACTAAATAAACTTTATTTTCACAGATTACAGGTGAAGCAAAATATTGATATAACATTAAGGTATCACAAGACCACTTATGTTCTTCACGGGGTTTCAATTAAGAAATTACATGAAAAATAAGTCCATGAAAGGAATTCTGATGCTCTTAATTAGCATCTGAACTGCTCTGATGGGCTTAAGCCATTGTGAAAGTCCTAGCTTGGTTCCTACCCAGAGTCTCTTCTCATGAATCCTATGCTTAAAAGTCAAACCGATAAAGCATCACTACGTCAAACACAAACTTCAACACTCTTAACATGTAGGTGTAAATCTCATCTGAAAATCATTGAAAAGGTCAGGTCATCTACAAGAAATCTGTCCTTTGCATTTTAGTATCAGTAAATTAAAAGGAAAGCAGTAAAAGAATAAGAGAAAGCCATTTAATTATTTTTGTAGGTAAGAACATAACATTGGTTTATCAGTTACATAGTATTTTTCATGCTTCATCCATGCCAGGTACTTAATTTTTAACCAACTCGAACACATTACAAGTGGAGAAATAGCTAAAAACATGGAAAACATATACATAACTCTTTAAAGGGTAGAGAACATGCCCAGTTCATATACATTGCTTAATCCAGCATTCCAATCTCAGTAAGGCACCACAATCCACCCAGCTATAAAATCCAAGATCAGGAAGTCACCTATCCCTTCCCCACACCATCCCACCAGCAAGCCTCTCCTACCTCTTAAACCTCTATCAGATCCATCTGAGCTCCCATCTCTACTGTCCCTATGCTTCAGGCCACCAGTGCTTTTCCAATTTTTCATAAACTAGCCTTCTAACTGATCTTCTTCCAAACAGAAGGCCAGTCATTATTTCCTTCTACCAGGTCGATTTACTACTACGGGTAAAAATAGTCCATAACATTCAAATCTCACCATGGTACTTCTGGACCCAACACTTTTGACAGCTTTCCAGAGCTCTTACAAGCCTACTCTAGCCCCCGCCTACTTCATCATTCCTGCCATTCCCCTCATTCAGTGTCTTTTCTTCTTCCAAACACACTGTACTTCTCCCACTTCCCTGGACACATCCACCTTTTCAACCTCAGCTTCTGTACCTGCTGTTCTCTGAAGGATTGTTTTTCTTCCTGTCACCATTCTTCAGATATTAGTTCAAATATCACTTCCACAGGATGCCTTCCTTGACCTGCATCCCGACATCCTCCATTCCTCTCCCATACCCAAAGGCCAAACTTTACTTCATAAGTTCTTGTCATACTTGACTTTGAGCAGTTAACACTGATATAAGTGAGCTTTTCATGGCTGGATGAGTCTCTTTCAATGTGATATATACTCTCTGATATTAGCAACTGTCTATCTTTGCAATACAAGTAAGCTTGGTTGTAAAGACAGAATCTTCACAAGCAGATAATTGGATATTTATGGAATAAATAAAAATGTGTAAATGTAAAAAAATTCATGGGAATGGTAAATGTGATAGTGAAAAACTGTCTCTTTTAAAAAGAGGCTAAATCTGATACAGAACTGTACTTAGAAAAAATAAATTGTAAAACCTTAATAAGCTTTTGAACACAAAAATGGCTCTTGGAAAACTTATTTTTATGACTTAAATACAAATCAAATCCAGAGAAACACAAGTTAAGCCTCCTTTAAGTTACTCTTGGTTTACAACTTTTAAGTTGAGTGTTTTAACCAAATACATATAGATTTAACTGACCAAATTACAGAAAACCTGTTTGAGATGTTAAACCATTATAAAACAATCCACTGAACCAACAATTAAAAGCTCTAAAGTGAAAGATAAAATAGCCTAAAAAATCTATTTTCTGTATCACAGAGGAAAATATAGAAGCCTCTTCAGAAATAAAACTAAGTTAGAATATTATATCTAAATGTATCTGCCAGGTATGAATCTAAATTCTAGTTATCACACAAGCACTTATTAATCGACATTTACAGTTAGTAATGTATCCTTAATCAATCAGGCTTTCATCTTGTATAAAAGATACTAAGAATTTTTCACTCACAATGCTAGCATTTTCTTTGTTAAAAATTTAATCTTTGAAAAGAAAAGAATGGTCAATGGTTCACCTTGTGTTTCAGAATACCCACCTTATCTTCTGGGTATCTCTTTTATTTATAAAAATATATGTACCTCTATTAAAAGAAAGTTAAAATTTTGACTGTGTGTATTTAGAGAAGTGCTTTGTTGTTGTTTTTAACAATAAAGTACCAGGGTAAAATAACTTCCCCCGAAACAGTAAAAATGGTTCTTTTTGTGAGTGTGATATATAATCAATTATTATCAAGTGGGTGCATTGCACATACACACATCAAGCAAGATTTATACCCTGCCGGTTTCTGGTTTTGAATCAATTTTAAAACCAAGAAGTAATGGAATGAAGGGAAGTTAAATTATATATAAACAAACACTGCTATTAACTCATACCACTAGTGAAACAAAACTCTAAATAAGTAGAGAAAATGAGTTCACACACTGAAGCTCTGAAATGTTCTGGGTCTTTTATCTGTGCATTTATTTTTCCTATTGAATTTAAAGTTCAAACCAAAATCCACTAATAATGTTTAGAATTATTAAAGGCCACAGTATGACAGCTTTTAGTGCAACCAGGCATTAAGAAGCATTTTCTTTTCTCTTTAAGATGAGCCAACTTTTATTTTAGAATTTCTGTAATTTAACATTCTTTCCCACCAAAGCACCTAAATCTTTTTCACGTAGCTGCAAATGACTACATGACAGATATGCCAAAGTTGTTAGTTTATGTCCACTTCCTTTACTGAATGTGTAGTGAAAGGCCTTAGTTTTCAATTTACATGTGGTTCTTCTCCAAGATCTTAAAAAAATCTCATGTTTATATTAGAAATCAACATGCAAGTTCAAGCCCGGTGGCTTATGCCTGTAATCCCAGTACTTTGGGAGGCT